CTGAGGCACGCAAGGTGGGAGGGCTACCAGGCTCGCTCCCCTGCGTAGGCACACTATCTAGAAGCTTCTCATAATGTGTATATCTGTATAAATTGACTGAATAAGTTCATCAATGTGTGTATATATATATATATATATGTATATGCATGTATACATACACACATGCATATATATATATATATATACATATATATATACACACACACAGATTTTCGTTCTTCATTATGGGCATCCTGTGTTCGGGTAACGGTTCAGTTTCGGTTCAGTGGAGCCCGCAGAGGTTCATCTGCAGCTAGGCTACGTTGGAGTCGGGACCTGTACACGCTAAACCCTTTAAACTACAATCTAGAGCCTTTGTACAGCCTTAGTCCTATATCACACACAGGGTTCCGAAGTGCGGTTGAACGGTTTTCTGTAATTTTAGTTTCTGAGAATTTTTTTGATGAGACTTGCCTGTCACCTGGTTCGGGGTTGGGGTACGCATGTGGTCAGGGCATAGGGAGGATTCCAGAAGGAATTCGGGGAGCAGGGCAGGTCTGTCCTTGCAATATCTTCCTGCCTGTGAATCCCCTATAATTTACCTTAAAGGGGTTACCAAAATTATATTCCAACTTTCTGGCTTCTACTGTAAGCTGGAAACCACTAACAGACACCCTGAGCCCGAATGACAGCGACACCAATGTGAAGATGAAAGAGTCTGGCTGGTGTGCTGTAGCCCTGCTCTTCATGAATGGGAGAGTAAGCCGAATGGTGCAAACCCTAAACCCCAAACCTGCAGAAACCCTAAATCTACACCCCATACCTGCAGAAGCTCCAAGACCTAAACTTAAGTAGCCCTGAAACCTAAATCGCGAGACCTAAACTTGCAGTCTGCTCATGCTGCCCCCACCAGGCCGGGTTGAAGCGAACTTCCGGCTCAATGGCGACCTGGCGACTACTGCAATGTGACCTTCCCTTGAACGGGATTTAGATCTTTATGAGGGCTTGATGCCGGACCTAGCGCCCACGGTCGAGGGTTCTGTCATGATCGGTAAGTTTCGAGTTAAAGGGCTGTAGGGTTTGAAGGCTTTGAGTTTGGGCTTGGGCTTAGGGTTACGCCCCGAAATATCCGAGATCGACTGCCCCGTGTGCATGGAGCCGCTGGCGCTCCTTGGCATTATCAGCGCATGCTGTGCCCCAAAGCGGCTCAGGTAGGATGAACTTCGGGGAATTTAGAGCTTAGCACGGAGGGAGTCAGTAGGGCACGTACACAATGGATCCAGAAAAAGAAGACCCAGAGACTCCAATATCCCTTAGTTAAGGAATATTCCTTGAATCATAGTAGGGATCCGACCATAATCTAAGGAATATTCCTGAATTAAGGCATATTGGAGTCTCTGGGGACCCCAGGAATTGGCCCCCGAATCTTCACGAAGCCACATCTGAGTCATGTTGAAAGAAGGAGCCAAGGACCTCAGGTCTCCCCAAAGTTCCGGGACGGCTACGGTTTGGAAACGTAGTTAGCAAGGATTTAAGGGTTGAAGGTTAAGGAGTTAGGGTTCATTTATTCTGTTCACTGCTTTAGAAACTTTGCTCTGGAGTGTTTTCAAAGGGTGTTGCACACGGGGGGTTTTGGACGTTGATGTTCAGAGGTGGAAATTTGGTCTTAGGGCTTTTGCGTTTTTTGTGTGGGGATTTGGGGTTTGGGGTTCAAGGCTTATTGTGAGGGTTTTGCATTCAGGCGCTTTAAGCTCAGGATTTGAGTACGAGCTCGTGTTCGTGAGTGTTGGAGCCTGCCGTCTTGAATCCAAGGGTAAAAGGAGGGACCTTGAATAAGGACCCCCAGGTATATATATATATATATATATATACCCTTAGTATAGCTATTGTATACCCATTATATAGCACATTATAGGGGTAGGGGTCCCCATTAAGTGTCCCTCCTTTTCCCCTTTGATTGAAATCTGCCACTTGCTCCTGGGCTTCGGGGCTTAGGCTCTAAACCTTGGGATCTACGAAACCTCGAGCCCCAAACTCCAGAGGTAGTAGCATCCTAAACCCCAAACCGCAGAACTTAAGATTCGAAAACGCAAGCCTTCGTAATCACCAACATTATTTCTCAGGGTTTCGCAGTATGCTACACATGTGCATGCATATGTATATAGATGTATGTATGTGTGTATATATGTATATATATATATATGTGCGTGTGTGTATATATATAGTACCTATGTATGTATTTATGCATGAATGTATTCACGGATACCGAAATGAAACCCTGATAGCAATTGTTATGGCACCCTTAAAACACTGTAGTCTGAAGGCCCGCCACATTGGTCCTTTCCTGAACTCCTGCAGAGGCCTCCAATCGCGCTGTGCGTTCAAGGTCACGCCTTTCACGCCACTGGGCCAAGACCACGACAGCTGCAGGGATTCGTACAGTTTAGGGATTTGGGTCCCGAAGTAGGTGGGCAGTTGAGCAGTCAGGGGAAGGATCACAGCCGTGCAAGCCTTGCAGTCTTGAGGGTTGTGATGTAAAGCCGGCTGTCATTCTGTTGTTTCAGTTGTTCACATTGCTGAGATCAGACGATGCTTGAGCGAAATTTCCAATATCACGAAAACAGAGTGACCCTACCCATAGGCTCCATGGTAGTTCCTTTTTGGGATTGCCTTATAAGGATTCTATAAAAGAACCCCCCAATGGAACTACTATGGAGCCTCCAGCTAAACCCTAAACCGGAGCGATCTCCGACTCAGGAGTTCTGCTTGCAGAGGACCTTTGCTGCGGCGCACCAGGCGGGCTTCCAAGTTGCCTCACGTTCCTTACCTTTGGGTAGTAGGGAATGGAAGAATGGTAGTAATAGTGTTTATGACTGTAATTACCCCGCTCCTCCATTCCCTACCAACGGTAAGGTTCGTGATGGTGAAGAAGAGGATGATCATGCTGGTGGTTGTGTTCAGCTGCCCTGCCGCGCTTACAGTACTTACGCTGGTATCACCGCTACTGGTAATACGGCCACTACTTCTGTCAGTGCCGCTGCTGCTGCTGCTGCTGCTGCGGCGGCTTTGACAAGCTTGCCCTTTTCGCGGCCACAGAGACGACCACGACGAGAGCGACTAGCATGACAACTGCGACTGATGCTGCCGTTGCTACGACGACGGTAATTATGTCAGGCTATCACTACTGGTACTTCTAATGCATGTTGCCACCCGCCCGCTCCGCCCTTTCCCCCCCCCCCCTCGTAAAAACATCGAAATAAACTCCAAGCACCCGCACGGCTACTTCGGAATACTGGGACCCCGATAATGCCCCATGAATTTCCTATCCCAATTTCTGCCGCTGCTGCTGCTGCTGCTGTGGTGAGTACGTCGATAGCGACGATGAGGACAGTGACGCTGGCGACGACGGTGACGGACGATACGACTTCAACTTCTGATGCTGTTGGCAAACATATCAATGTCTAATGCAGTGCACATTTTGGCTACACCGTGGTTTCTGGTGGTGAAAGCGAAGAGACTGACGACAAAGAAGGCACACGTCGTACTCATCATCAGGCTGCTGTCAGGATGATGAAGATAGGCAGAGCAAGTATCGTTGCTGTCAGTATCTTGTCACGAGTATCTTTCCCTAAGGGTCCATGTACTCACGTAGGATACACTTTTGCCTTAGTTGTAGTCCGTATATAGAGACCCTTAGGGTGTGTGTTTTTGCTACCAAGCTGCAAGCTGCACGGTCATGTCGCCTCGCAGACCATGTGCCCGGTGTGCCGCGTCCCGGTGACGACGCCCGGTCGTCTTGGCCGCGACATCGAAGCTTTGCTGTTTCCATCGTGAAAAGCATCGGTGCCTTTGTAGTGAATCCATAAACTCAGGAAGACTCTTGAGATTAGTTTGTGGTTCTCAGAAACGATGCCGGGATTCAGGTCATTAGTGAGTGACTAACCGGACAAATAGTTTCACAGGGACGCTTCCGGCACCATAGGGGCAAGTCCTAAGTTGAGCATTCCGAGTGGCACGGGGAGCTAGTGTGTAAACTTGGGTTGTGAAATCGCAGACTCTGCGCACCAAAAGAAGCATAAACTATTCATCAGGACCTGTTGAGCTCGAGATCTTAGAACCCTAAACCGCCGCCAGGTTTCTTGCAAAGACAAAGCTGATCGTTCGATTCCTTCCCTGCAAAGCCGAGCTTCCAAGTCATCCCTCGATGCCGCTGCGGCTCCTTCCTGCTGTAGGCTGAGGCTTTGCCTCATCGGGCCTTACACATCCTGACCTGGACCCTCAACTCAATCCCAAACCCTAAACCCTGAATGAACCCCCTTAAGGCTTCAGCCTTCAATCCAAAACCCCACGGCCCGAAAAGCCAAGAACGCCCTAACAAAAGGGGCCTCAATAAGTACCAGCACTATTTTTTGGGGGGGCTCCTTACTGTAATTCAATTACAGTATAGTGGGCCCCAAGACCCTATTCTAATTAGTAAAGACCGGTCATCGGAGAGAAAGCTCTGAAAGGCCGAGAGACAGCCGACCCCCGGTCGGAGATTTCATGTGTAGAAATGCTGCCATGATGGTTATTATGACTCTTCGTAGAATGATTTCATTATCATCAGTACATAGTACTAAGACTATGAGTATGATGATCCTGATTAGCTGCATGAGTCATGATTATCATTCGCACTATTGCTGTCGTTGGCTGCGGCTACTGTTCTTATACACAGCATCGCCACTACTGAGTATTGTAACTTCTGCAAACCCCTAAACCCATTTGGGTGGTTGTCAAAATTAAGGGTCCTTTTTCGGGTACCCCAAATACTAGGTGCCGTACTATACTAAGGACCCAAAAAGGGACCATAATTTCGACAACCACCCATATTAGGGAACACTAAAACGGTAGGTTCCTTACGGTCCAGGTAGGCCCTAAACCATAACCTACCTTTCACAGGACTTATCACAAAGAACTCCTATGAGGGAGCCCTTAAAAAGGCCCTTTAAACCCCAGTAGTTGTGGGTGATTTGTGACAAGCCATGATGGACTTCGAGCTGCCTCTGCCGAACCTGGAGGAAGCAAGTTTCGGGTCTCCGGGCTTTGGGGGGGCTTTTAGGGTTTTAGGGGGCTTTTAGGGTTCAGGGGGGCTAGGGTTTAGGGGGTTTGGAGCCAAAAGCCCGGGGTTTTGGGGGGCTTTGGGGGCTTGAGGGTGTAGGATTTAGGGGGTGAGGGTTTTAGGGGTACGAGCCTGAAGAATTTGTAACCCGGGTCGCATATAAAAAGCTCAAGGCGGCGGCACAGAACAACGAAACGGCAGTCGCCCACCTCTGCGACACAGCAGAATGATTTCGGGTAGACCGAGGTCATTCTGCATGTAGATCGTTGGTCGAGATGCTGAACTTCGGGGTGCCCGAATGCCAGGTCTCCTAGTCATTAGGCATTGAGGAGCCTAGGAATGCTATGCCTTAGGGTTCGCGACTGCGTGTAAAAGTGGCCCAGAACACTGGTCCAATTTGCTGATGGATGTTCCGAACTGAGACCCGCATTTTAGGACACTTTACTCATAATCTTGCGTAGCATCCCCTACTGTACAGTCTATAGTCTCTATCTACGTATATACCACCTTCGACCCAACAATCTGTTCCACACGTTCCCAGGGAGCCCAATACCCCTTAAGTAAGGAATTTGGCTTAAATTATATAGGGCTTTATATTATATGATTTAAGCTTTATTCCTGAATTAAGGGGTATTGGAGCCCCCTAAACCCTAAACCCTGTAGATCCCTTAAAGGAACCCTAAGGTATTCCTTAAAAAAGGGGTACCCAGAGACTCCAATATCCCTTAATTAAGGAATATTCCTTAACTCATATTAAGGATCCTATTATAATTTAAGGTATATTCCTTAATAGAGGGATATTGCAGTCTCTGGGTATTGGGCTCTTTGGGTGATGCCGCTCAGCTCGGCAGGAGGTGAGGGCGGCAGCCCGGCGCTTGCTTTGCCCGCAGCAAACCCAGGCTGGAAATCTCATAGGAGGCCAAGAGGGGTTTAGGTTTTTAGGGTTTTGGGGATTAGGGTTTTAGGGTTTACGGTTTAAGGGTTTTAGGGTTTAGGGTTTAGGGGTTTACGGTTTTAGGGTTTATGGGTTTAGGAGGCCAAAAGAGGTTTTAGCCTATGGGGGTTTAGTAGGGATTATGGTTCCCAGAATGGGGTTCACAAAAAGGGAATCCCTACCCCAAGAATCTTAAACCCCCCTTTTGGCCTCCCATCAAAATCTGTCCTGTCCTCGACACGCCCATGCAGCCAGACGGGTTCTGGGTAGGTATACTAATTCAGGACACAGAGCTTCGCGTGTCGTGATTAGATGAGAGATGTCTTGATTCTAGCACCTTTGGCTTTGGGGTGCTGCTAGCTTGAGGGGCTGTTATGCAAAGATTCTACCATCGAGGATTGTATTGATACCCGTTGTCATGGAGGGGGCATGCGCGCATATGTTTTGAAGATGTGCGCAATGAACGCTGAACCCCGGACACCCAACCTCGAAACCCTCAAATCCAACCCTAAACCCTAAACCTCCAACCCAAGCCTGTAAGTATGCAAACTGTGCCGGCACAGGACCCTCAAACTCCCAACCCGACACCCCAAAGTGCCCCCAAGCCCAAACCCCATTCTGATTATGAATCCCTGTGTCAGGCTATTCCATGGAACGTCCGAGTTGATGATGCCTGGTTTGCAACTCGGACAAAGCTGCAAGCATCCAAGTTTCGTTTTTTTTGGTTGGTGTAGAGCAGGTTGTGGGTTGGCTTTTGTTTGGTGGTCCGCATCATAGTCCTCGGTCCAGGCCTACTAGGTTTCCACGCTTTCTCGAAACGCCACACTACTTGTCCAGCGCCTCAACTCCCTCACGCCACAGAATTCTGCACTATTTGTGGACAGGGTTTCAAAAGATTACAGTAGATGAAATTTTGCGATTGAGTATGGCGGAAAATTCATATGTACTCGGCCAGGCCTTCTCCGAAATGTAGAGCTTAATCGCCCTCAGCCCTGCGCCTGTGAGCAAAACAGCCAAAAGCCCACAGGAGTGGGTACCCGTCCTGGCGCTACGGTGGAGCCAAGATGACATCGACAGCCGGATGATCTTCCGGCATGATGAGTGGAAGTGTCGTTCAGTTTATGCCTCTTGGGCCGAACCAAAGACATACTATAGGGGCCTAAAGGTTCCTTATGATAACTACAGTATAATGGGCCCCCAAAACCCATTCTAATTATGAAGTCATGGCTGTCAGAAACCTGATTGTAATTATTAAGGCCCGTGTAACTGTAGTCGAAAACCCCGGATCCCGAAGCCTCCACCCGCCTGAAGGCCCAAAGCTCCCCGAAAGTGAGAACGAAGGGCTCGATAAGGGGCCCAATAAGGCTTGCTGCACGATCTGTCTGGTTCTTAGTAGGAAGTAGAGATTCCCTTATTTAAGGGTTCTTTTAAGAGTTACTATAAGGGTTATACTATAGGGGTTTAGGGTTCTTAGTATATAGGCTGTCTGGTTCTTAATAGGGAATGGGGGAATGGGTTATGGGGGCTATTCTTGGGGCATTTTCTAGGGACTGCTCTAGGGATCCATTCCCCCCCTTCCCTACTAAGAACCAGGGAGCGATCCGTGTTCATGTGGGTTGTAGAACTGGGGTCTAAAAATGTTCTAAACCGCCAAATAGTAAGGAAAGCAATATAAGTTACTATAATAAGGAAGCCTTAGAATCTTGAAGCCAGACCAACATCCCGACCTTACCCAAGGAGACCTTGGACGAGCCGTGGTTGCATTGAGCTCCCAGTTTATAGCGTGGCCTTTGCGGGTTTCAGGTGCAGGCTTTACCCAAAGGCTCCATGTACCTTCATAGTAGATACTTAAGCCTTAAAGGGGTCCCTATATAGGTACTTTAAGGCGTAAGTATATAATACATGGGTACATGGAGCCTTAGGGTTACAACAGAGTGGCCTCAGGCTTTGCAGGTCCCGGTGTTTGGGGGTTAAAAGCTCAGGCTTGAAGATTTATCGGTGTCAGGTGGCATTCTGGCGTGATGGGCCCATGCTTTCTTGGTAGGTATCTTGGGGCGAAGATTCACACTCAGTGTGTTCCGGGGCCACGCTTCATATATGCCTGGTTGCACCAAGTGCGGAATGAATTGCTATTCACCGGAAGCCAAGGACCTTGTGGCAGTAGTAAACCTCCTTCGTGTCCACCACCCGGCATGTCCTCTTTTGCTTGCCAAGTGGTGTCAAAGCTGTGGAAGCATAGCACAGCGTGCAGGCCACAAAGGGGCTGGAATACTGTTCGTGTATGGAACCGAAATCTCGAATCCACACCCCATAACCGTTCTAAATACCCTCAGCCCTTAGTGCGCTTCAAGCACAAAGTCCTGAATCCCCCAATCTTTTCCGACCACAGACCCAGAAGCTGCGCTTAGGAGTTAGGTTAGGATTTGAAGTTATCGGTTTAGGATCTGGAATTTTCCTTACTGGTTTAATGACAGGGTTTAGGCCCCTCCGCCCTTAGACCCGTAGATCCTATATAGACCCTGAGCCTACCTGGACCCCAAAAGTATGTAGAATAGTAGCCTTTTATAGGTTTTGGGCCATTATTTTACCTACTTTTGGGGGTCTAGGTACGACCCCATGCCGCCCGCCAAGGAGCTCGTCAGAGGTAAGATCGCGCCGGGCGGCATCGCAAAGCTCGAGGCCACTTGGAGCATCAGGGTACCTAGAGACTCCAATATCCCTTGATTAAGGAATAGTCCTTAAATCGGATTAGGGATCCTATTATAATTTAACGAATATTCCTTAATTAAGGGATATTGGAGTCTCTGGGTGGGTATGTAGGGGCTCATTACTACGACAAATGAGGGTTACCCTTAGGGCTCCTTTGAGAGTGCTACAAGACGTCTATGAGGAGATCTATGATAATATGGGAGTTTCCGAAAATAGGGGACCCTAATATACTACCCTAAATGGTAGGATCCCTAGAAAAAGGACCCCAAAATAAGGACCCCTAATATTCGGAAACTCTAAACCCCAAACCTTAAGGGTCATTTGGTCCTTCAGGTTCAGGGCAGGTGCGCCAGTCATAAGATAGCGAGTGGCACAACAGGGTGCAACTATCCGGTTGAAGGGCTTGTTCTGGGGCGTTTGGAAGTTGATGTTTAATGGGTGCCGGAGTAGTCAAACTGCAGTACGGTTTGGCGGTTGCAGTATGTTCTGGTATAACAGTCGAGTATACCACAATAGTCAGAGTGCAGGCACAGCCAAGCATGAACGTCCGTGTTCTAAACCCTAAACCCTGAACGCAAACCTTGAGCCCACAAGTTTGGGACCCCGGGGCAAGATCGGAGCTAGAAGATTCGTGCTGTAGAGTCTTTCCCGGACCCTCTACAAGCAGAGTAACTATACAATATAACCTAAAGATTAAAGGGATGAGGAGAACCAAGTATGACATCCCAGTGTTTGTTGCTGGGGTTTGGTGGTGATCCTTTTATGAGGCAGTTCCTGTAGCATTCTTGTACCTGCTATGAGGTCGTCCGCCATCACGGCGAGCTGTACAGCCTCAGCAACCGCCGGCTTACGGCGCTGCCGCTTCGATGAAATCAAGGGTTCTGTGGGGTTTAGGGTGTAGGATTCCCTAGACTAGACACCCTAACCCCTGAAACCCTACCGTAAAGGTTTGAGAGTGGGGGGGAGGGTTGGGGCTTCGGAGAGCCTCCAATGGAGCAACTGAATGGTGTTCGATGGCAGGCTCCCAGTCTAAAAAGGTTTAAACGTGTTGCGCGTGAATGCGATGTCCATGGGATTCTGCAGCATTCATAGTCACATGTGGTCTCCGTGTTGTTTGGTTTTCTAGACGGCTATACGTTGTGAATCCCCGCTGCCCTTGTCCTAAAGCCTTGCTGGCATACCTAAATTTTGGGACCTCGGTCACCATAGTTTAGAAGTTGTCAGCTTCAGGGTCGAGCCCTAAACCCGGAATCCAGACCTTAGGTTTGAATACATAGAGACGGTTCCTTAAGGTTCCTTGTTACTACGATATCATTATCATATAGTAGAATCTGCACCCAAACCCTATTCTAAATCTGAAGGCCCGTATAATAGGGTACACCGTGCACGCTGAGGCTGACCTACCAGATCCTCAGGCGGAGCGAGGTCGTGTACGCGAAGTGCGTGATCAGCCGCTTGGCAGGGCTCGTTGCATGACAAAGACCAGAGTGGAGCATGGATTAGGGTTTAGGGTTTATAAGGGTTTAAGCTCAAAGCTTCTCAATGGGGCGTGTAAGATCTGTCTTTAGCTCCCCAGCGCGTGTGGTACGCGATGTTGAAGAGTCCAATGTAGAAGATCCCAGCCGCGTCTGCACAGAGTACCCCGGGATCACCAGCTAGAGGCTACCTGGGGCGATGTGGGGTTGAGAAGGGCTGAAGCAAAAGAATTCTACGCCTTGCTAATGCGAGTTAGATCCTACCCTCATAGACAGCTTGATCTTCCGGGATGGGTTCTCCTATCTAGGGTTTAGGGAATGTTTAGTTCAGGCCTTGGGGCAGAAGCCCAGATATCCCATCCCAGGTGCTGATAGTCTTTAGAGTCCATGCGGACATTTTCTCAGGCGCATTCCAGCCGGCTCCTTTTCGAACCCCCAGCGGAAAGCTCCCAACGCATCTCCCACATCACCGGAGCCCTCAGCACTAGAAGCGGAGGAGAGGGCCCAAACCCTCGATGGAGCAGGCCATCTTCCCTTGTGAAGCCGGATTGCGATTGGAGTCTTGATCAGAGTGCATGAGAAAGCATCATAAAACGATTCTCTAGATTCTAGATACTTGTGAAAGGGTTTCCTTTCATTCTGTGGTTGCTTGCTGTTTGGAGTTGTCTTTCTGCTACGGATCTTAGTGATTTGCATCTATACGGCGTGGCTTCCAGACTCTCAAAAACTTCTTGCCAAACCGCCGAAGGTTCGAGGAGTTTACTTCAAGGATTGTTGTTTGAACTGTGGGTTTAGCGTGAAAGGCATCGCTGAGGCAACAGAACCGAAATAATACTATCTGCGCGTTCGTGGTTTGAAGGCTGCGACCTCTGAATGACAGCCTTCTACCAGGCATCTCTGCTTACGGTTTGGTGCTTAGTAGGAATGTGGGAATGGATCCCTACTGTAGTCCCTATGAATCCCCAATATCGTCTCCATCCTCCATTCCTCCATTCCCTCCAGACAGCTTATCATCAGTCTTACTACGGGAAGGCTGCAACTTCAAGACTCTGGACAAAGTCTGCTCTCTCTTGGCTTAGGCTGGTCTTGACAAATCCTGCAATGCAAAACCCTTCAAAGACCCTAAACCCCAAACCCATCTAAAACCCCTAAACCCCTAAATCCCTAAAACCCTAAAACCGACACCCCTAAACCCTAAACCCCAAGTATTTCTGTCCTTACACCCCAGTAGCCCAAGGCCTGCTTCAGAACCAAGAGCAGGAGCCGAAAAGCTCTTGCCACAAAACCAGAACTTGGGGCTCTGTTGTAACTATCTATTTATCTCTCTATCTCTCTACCTCTATCTCTCTGTCTCTCTATCTATCTATCTATCTATCTATGTCTCTATCTCTACCTATCTATCTATCTGTCGATCTATTTATCTATCTATCTATCTATACATGTCTATATACAGACATACATACATTTATCATAGGAACTACCGGGGGAGTTGAGTCAAGTGCGTTACGATATGTCTACTCATTCAGGCGCCGGGGCTTTTAGCTTGGCTTTTGGATCCGTAAGCTATGACGCAGGTCGTTCTCAACGCGGTCCTCCGGCCTGGACATGTATCCGAATCCCAGGTTCTACCCCTCGCAGGCGCAGCTGAGCGTTGTGAAGGGTTAAGGGTTTGGGGTTTTTGAGGCTTCGGTTTAAAGTTTTACTATGGGGCTTCTACTCTTCAGTCGATGCTCATTTATCGACGTCCGGGGTCTGGGGTCAGGAGTAACCTGCAAAGCCTCGAAACCCCAACTCGCTGAACCCTAAATCGTCAGAAAGCAAGAGCGTCATCCCAAACCAATTTCCAGGTGCCCCTCATCATTTAGGATTGTCTGGAGTGGGTGTTCCCGTTAATGTCAAGGATGCTCTATTTGCGGTCTATGTTCGCGTCCCTTTCTCAATTCTCGACAATCACGTGGAGCCCAGTTCTTAAACACCCGCAACCCGAAATCCAGGTTTTCGCAAACAGACCCTGTTGCAGCAATCTCGATAAAGACCCTGGACCACAAATAAATCCGCGACCTCCAGTTTTTGCTCACTCATGCGCTTCAGGGCTGAGGGTGTGGCTGGTTTCAGATAGGTCTTAGGGCGGGGCTCAGGCTCCAGAGCTCTAGCAAGCCTTCTATAGCATGGTCTTTGGCCCCAGGGCATAAAATCATGAGTCCTCAGAGACAGAGCATACTAGGGGAGCCTAAGTAACTAGCAATAGTATCCCCTAGGATAGGTATACTATACTGTACCCCGATATCCAATTCTATTTCTTAAGGCCCTTGCTTAGGGACCCAAAAAGCACATAAGCATAAGCATTTTGCCGCGATATCCCTGCCTTATTGGGCTTCCTTATAAGGGGGTCTATATGGGATATCCCTATCCTAATTTTTGCTTATGTGCTTTTTTGGGGCCCTACTTACAGTAATTAGAGTGGGTAAAGTGGAGTCCAGGCCGAGCACTGCGGTGGTCCGCTCTTCGACCACAGCCAAGTTGCTCTGCAAAGGCGCACCGTGAGGGGTACATGAAAGTTGGGGTCCCTTCTTTAGGGCTTTGGGTTTAGATGGGGGGAGGGGTTATCTTGAAGTTCGGGTCTATTATTGAGGGTACTGGGTATAAATTAGGGGGTTCTTAATGTCAGGGTCCCTTGTTTGTGGTTCAGGGTTTAGGGTTTCGAGTTCGGGTTCTTAAGCTCGAGACCCTGACTCAGGGGTCCTTATGATGAGGATCCTACTGCTTGGTTCCAAGGGGAAAGGAGGGACCCTTAACAAGGACCCCTAGGTAGATACCCTTAATATAGCTATTATATACCCATTATATAACCCCATTATAGGGTAGGGGTCCCCATTAAGGGTCCCTCCTTTTCCCTTTTCATTGGTGTTCCACTATTTTGGGGGCGGCCGTTCTGATGCCCCATCTTCCGAAACTCCCATGAAGTGGGGAGTCACAGCTGGTCAAACAATGTAGAAACCGGCAGAAACCGGAACCCTAACCCCGAAAACGCAGAACATGAATTCCTCCACCAAAAAGGCACTACAGGACAACTAATATGTTTATATATGTACGTATATGCATGTGTGCTATATACATATATACACATATATGTTATATGTATACACATGTGTGTGTACATACACTTACATATTACAGACAAACTTTGTACATGATACATACACTCTGCTAGTGAAGATCGCCGTCGTTGTACTGTCTACTAGGGTGTTGATGGTTTCCCTGGCCCACCCAAATCATTAGGAGATAAGCCTTCTCCACGTTTGCTTGTGATAAGATGTTGCTACATCCTACTTAAGTCTCGAAGCAAAAATCCCTAAAGCCGGATAAACCCGAAACCCCTAAACCCTAAATCCCCTCAACTAAACCCCTAATCACGGCACGTCTTTGCCCATCGGTCCTCGCAGGGTGCACAAGCTCTTCAACAAGCACCAAGATAAACTGAGAGGGTTTACAGTCCGGGCCCCGGAGGCAAGGAATGCTTAGGATTGTTTTAGAATGCCCACTAAATCCTAAGCCCTCTACAGTCTAAAGTCTAAAATGCAAGGGTTAGTGTTGAATGACATGTGCTTACGGTTCACCCACAAACTGCCATGCAAGTTTGTCTCTGCCGAAGATGCCAACGCGGCGGTCCGACACGATGTGAGCACAGCATGCCTTTCCACATCCACTCATGGCCGAGGTGGAGTTGAGAGAACGCGATGACGACGAAGATGGCTCGGTGCTTAATTGCAGGATGTATCGAAGTCGTAGCAAGGGCGTGGGGGGACTTGACGGCAGTCGAGTGTTCTTGTCTCCTGATGTCCTTGATCCTGAATCATGCGCTGTAAAGGTGGCCATGATGCACAATACCACATGTGGGAATTGTGGGAACCATCAGACTGGAAGCACCGATAGCTAGTCTCCAAAGGTAGCGGCAGTGACATAAAATGCTACAGCAGCCTCAACGGCAGCAAGAAGAAGCGCACGACAACAACGGAAACAAAACTAGTGGCACTTCTAGCAGCGCGGCACGACCACTACCACCAGCGACGACGACTGTGACCGACGGACCAGATTGTTTGACACAGCCATTTTAATAGATAGTCGCCAGGGGCACAGTCACGGCAAGGTGGCAGAAGTAAGCTTGGCGCAGATTCGCCTCAAACACGGCATCCAGCACCATGTTCGAAGTGTTTTCAGAGGGCATTCGCTTGTAATTGTTGCAATCATCTGGAGACCCAGCCCCTTGCAAGAAAGCAGTGCCACACGATGGACATGTTTCAAGGAAGCAAATGTGAGCAGCAGGTATACTTTCACAAAAAACTTGAATACCCTGCAAGAGCAAACCCCTAAACGCTAAAACAGTAAGCCTAGTCATGCCGGAGGAGGGACAGCAAGGAGTGCTGTCTACTGCCTATGCAGCAATTCTTGGAGTTCAGGGCACCATCATTTAGATCGAGGCCCCAAGAACCCTACAGAGTTCTGTGTTTGAATCAGAATGGGATGTCCTCTACACAGACAGAAGCTCGCGTCCTAAGGAGTGGATTGCGAGACGTGGCTTGACTGTGAACATCTTCGGGTCTAGGCTTCGAGGTTTGCACCATCCGCGCCGACGCACGGATTCCGGGTTGAGGGTTTGGCTCTTGAGGTTCTACTTCTTGGCAGTAACGTTTCAGTGGCGAAGGTTGAAAGATATGCTTTATGAAAAAGCTACGCTGTCAAAACCCTACATCCTACTCACGTGTGAAAGCGTCCAAGAATCCCAAGAATTAGATCAGCAAGTGCGCAGTGTGCCTAATCAATTCCGTCGCCGTGCCTGCCAAAGTATAGGCTCTGAAACTAAAGCCCCCAATCCTAAATCCTCATCTTCGCGGAAGCGATTTGCCCGAAGCTCTGAACCCCTAAATAGCCCCCCAACACCCTACAGCCTAAACCCCGAAATAACCGAACCCCTAAACACCTAGACCCCTAAATCCCGCAACTCCCCGAAAAGCTAAAAAAACTTAAAAGCTCAAACAAAAACAAAAAGCTCCAAAACGCCCGCCAGAAAGCTCCAAAACCCCCCAGAAAGCTCCCAAAGAGGCTGACTCTCGCCAGCTTGTCAAGCCTGTTCTCTGACGGCAACGGCATCTCAGAGCCCAGGCCTCCCACGATGTTTCCTAAAGTTGTTAGGGCTCCTTGAAAGGGGCTATTATAAGGGATCTATAAGGGTACTTTAAGGGTTCCTTTAAGGGGGTCTATAAGGGTTACTATAAGGGATCTATAAGGGTACTATAATAATGTAGGAACAGGGTTCCCTTAAAGGGTAATGCAAGGGTCCTACAAGGGTACTATATGGGATCTATAAGGGTACTATAAAGTTCTACTGTAGGAACGGGGTTCCTCGAAAGGGTAATATAAGGGTTCCTTTAAGGAATCTATAGGGTTCAGGCTTTTGTGTTTGTTGGATGTAATGTAGGAGCCTGATTAAGAAGCATTGGATCTTTATTAGGCTTCCTTATATGAACCCTACTATTTTGGGGTTCTTGGCCCAGGGTTTAATCAGGTTCCTACGTTAGGGCCCACAGTGCATTCCGGATTAAAACGTGCAGGTAAGGGTTAGGTTTCAGGGTTTAGGGTTCAAGGTTTAAGGTTAAGATGTCCTACAAAGTTTAGCCTTAGTTAGCAGTGTGGCAACACTATCGGGTTCTTGCCTCGGGAGTAGAGAAGACTGATTGAGGCGGCCGCGCGGGCGCGGAGCGGGCGGATAAATAACTGCAGACATTGCAAACTAGTTGCAAGAGTTGCATCATGAATGAGGAATGTGAGCACATGTTCAGGGTGTTAACCTGTCAACCCAAGCTCGTCCAAGAGACCCAACTAGAAGCCCCTCAAACTCCTTTATCCTAAGTCCTGCAAAAGCAAGACCGAAATCCAAGCGGCATTTATGCCTATCCCCCCTTATCGAAGCCTTTGAAAGCCCCAGCAAGCAGATACCGCTCATCATGCCTGGTAAGATTCATCTGCATCTTACGTTTTGCAGCAAATACTGCAAATCCGATCCCCGCCTCCTACTATTTACACAGGATGCTCGCAACGCTCCCGCTGTGGTGCCGTGCATTGTTTGCAATACCCCCGATTCACTGTAAGAAAAGCAAGCTAGAAGGGGAAGCATAAGTCTCGTGCTCCCGAAACGTGCGAGTACCGTGCACGCTGCTCCAGTAGCCACCAGTACAATGCTTGTTGCGGGTTTAGGCACCCCTCCCCCGCGCAGCAGGTCCGAAATTGACATGATATTAGCACGCCCTTTGAGAAAGAAACCGACACTGTAACACGACGCTTCGCTCGGGGGTAGTAGTCGTTGCCTACGTAAGTCCCCTACGCCCTACGCCATCCAAAACTGAAAAACATGAGCTGGCATACATAGAGTTTTACGTAGTAAGAATGCAGTAAGAATAACCAGCATCATAATCGTCGTTGGGGCTGTTGAGCTGCCCCGAACATGGGCCACAGGCAGCCCGTGGCTGTCGAGGCGGAGAGTGTGGTTGCTGCTTCGCTGCATTGCCTTCTTGCAAGAGCCTTAAGAGGAGCCGTGAAGTAGCCCGGATTTTGCATTGTAAGACCCGGAAAGCAGCATAAGATCCTGCGACCGCGAGCTGCTAAGGGAAGCTGTGCTGAGACCTTCATGGGTGTCAAGCCTGCAGAAGTTCGGCAGCCAAGTTTCAGGACAGAGATGCTGGGCTCCTGTTTCCGGAGCCATTTCAGGGGCCTTTGATGATATCATAAGCTTTAATTTCAGGTTTCTCCGCGGGCTTTAAGGTCTAAGGAACTTGTATCTACATTGCTGTAGCAAGGATTTTTAGCAAACACCGTGTTTCCTTTGTTGTGCTAGAGTTGGGTAGGGGTTTAGGATGTAGGGGTTTGGGGTTTAGGGTTTAGCCCTCCAGCGCCCAACCGTCGGGCTTTGTACGCATTCAGTGCGAGTACAAGACCTTTGGATGTCACGTCCTGAGGGTAGTTGACAAGTACAAGTCCTAAACCCTGAACGATGCAAGCTTGGGGTCATCATTCCGACCCTTGTGGTTTGTATTGCCTGGCTCTTGGATAAGGAGTTATCGGGCGTAAGGTTGTTGGTAGTGTAAGGTTTTAAGTTTATGGTTGTCGTGTTTTTGTTGTTAAGGGCTTATAGGAAACTCCAGAAAGTTGGAATATGGGTTCATGGTAGGATACCCTATAATTTACCATAGAAGGGTTAGGATAATCATATTCCAACTTTCTGGCTTTTACTTTAAGGGCTTGGGGTCTGGGATGTCAGTCATGGGACTCAGGGTCGGGGATTGGGCTGTAGATTTTTACCTAGACCTGGACACCAGGAGATAGTCCAAACCGGTCAAACACCGAAAACCCTAAAGGCCGTAAACGCCCTAAACGCAAAACCCGAAACAGACACCTCAATAAACCCTAAAGCCCTAAAACCCTCTTACTAAGCCTTCTGCCAACCTTTCATTGTTTAAGTAGGTCCTAGTTCTTGAATGCAATGGAGGATCTTTCCCCACAGCGACACGGCTGCTTTTCACAAGGACCTCATTGACCGGAGCCCTGCCTCTCGCCTACATAGCACACAGAACGGTTTTGGATTTAGGATTAGGGTCTAGGGTTTAGGCTTTAGGGTTTAGGGTTCAGTTGTTGTTGGGATTTTCGGGTTGAGGCGGAATTTAGTTGACGGCTCTTCAGGGCGAGCCGCATGACGGCGAATGAGAAGAACACGTCGGCCATCAATCGAAGCAGTTTACGTCAACTTCTTGCAGAACTCGAATGCTTTAGTGCTGATCAGTTGAGGTCCCTGTCGATGACGTGAAGGACTCTACCGGGGCAGCCCTGGTCGTGCAGTTTTCCGGTTTAGGGCTTAGGGTAATGACAGCTGGTTTTCGCAGGGTTTAGCAGAACTTCATGATTTGCTCTTAGATGCGGACTTGCTTAAGTGAGGTTCAATGCTGAAAGGACTGATCCGGGTTTCAACTGCTTCATGCTTTAAGCAGGAGATCAAGGGCGGCTTGCAGATTCGCGGCCTGCCTGACGAATATAGGGGCTTCCCAATTGCTCATATTTTTTGGGTGGCTCTTTATTAAGGTTATAGCATAATATACCCCATTCTAACTATTAAGGCCCTTGCATTACGTGCGTTCCTACGGTATGAGGTTATGTAGCATTCAGGGGAGTCAGCACACAAAAGACAGAACGCTAGCGGGTTCAAGGTCAAGATTTCATAACCCTAAGGGTCCATGTGCCCATATAGCATATACTTTGGGCCCAATGTACCTGCATAGGGAGTACTTTAAGGCCAATGTATATGCTATATTTCCGCATTTCCAAGCATTCAGTGGTGTTCGCAGCCTAATTAACAAACGTGCAAACCAGCAGTATGCACTCAGGAAGGAAGGCGCCTGGGTATTCAACTCGCGCCACTCAAACCTGGAGCAGAAATCTGCAAAAAAAACCAGCCTTAGCGCAAGCAACGCTGCTGGATAAGACAAAGGTGGAGATTGACCCGGCACCATTTAAGGCAAAAGCCGTCTCCAACTCAACCAAAACGTAATGGCAAATCCTAGGCCATAATCTTTAAAGGCGCCAGGATAACCAAGCAACCGTGCTACTGCTGCTGCCGTAACTGCAGGCACAAGTCAACTCAACTACCAACGTCCCGTTGGGGACGTGGTAGTGTGCGTTCAAAGCCAAGGAACCTACATCACACACTCATGGCCAAACCGTGCGTGCACAGAATGGCCTCAGCCTGAGCCTATTCCTCATGGGGCAAAAGAGGCAAACTGCAAGCTGTACGCCCTTCACAGCATTAAATAAAAAAACTGTGCTTACTAACAGCACGTAGCCTCAAGGGCCACGATGCACGACATAGGGCAGCAATCAACAATTGTCGTGCCGCCTTGTCTTTTCTTGTCCAAACGTCTGCATGCCACCTCGCATGTGCGGCGTCAAGTGAGGGGTCGACTCCTTCTGCAGGCTGCAATCCGAAAGAGTACGGCCACCCTCAAACTGCCTGCCAGCAAAGATCAGGTGCTGCTGGTCGGGCGGGATGCCTGCCTTATTTTGGGACTTCGCCTTGACTTTGTCGAACGTGCCACTGGCCTCAACGTCCAAGGTGAGCGTCAGGATCTTGACAAAGATCTGCATGCCGCCTCGCAAGTGCGGCGCCAAGTGAGGGGACGATTCCTTCTGCAGGTTGTAATCGGAAAGAGTACGGCCGCCCTCAAACTGCCTGCTAGCAAAGATCAGGTGCTGCTGGTCGGGCGGGATGCCTGCCTTATTTGGGACTTCGCCTTGACTTTGTCGAACGTGCCACTGGCCTCAACGTCCAAGGTGAGCGTCAGGATCTTGACAAAGATCTGCATGCCGCCTCGCAAGTGCGGCGCCAAGTGAGGGGACGATTCCTTCTGCAGGTTGTAATCGGAAAGAGTACGGCCGCCCTCAAACTGCCTGCTAGCAAAGATCAGGTGCTGCTGGTCGGGCGGGATGCCTGCCTTATCTTGGGACTTCGCCTTGACTTTGTCGAACGTGCCACTGGCCTCAACGTCCAAGGTGAGCGTCAGGATCTTGACAAAGATCTGCATGCCGCCTCGCAAGTGCGGCGCCAAGTGAGGGGACGATTCCTTCTGCAGGTTGTAATCGGAAAGAGTACGGCCGCCCTCAAACTGCCTGCTAGCAAAGATCAGGTGCTGCTGGTCGGGCGGGATGCCTGCCTTATTTTGGGACTTCGCCTTGACTTTGTCGAACGTGCCACTGGCCTCAACGTCCAAGGTGAGCGTCAGGATCTTGACAAAGATATGCATGCCGCCTCAACGTCCAAGGTGAGCGTCTTGCCTGTCAGGGTCTTGTCAAAGATCTGCATGCCGCCTCGCAAGCGCGGCACCAGGCGAAGGCGTGCCTTCCATGGGCACTGGGGCTACCGATAGTTCCGCGCTGCTGCGGCCATTCGAGCCCTATATGCTATATGAGTACATGGACCCTTAGGGTAAGTATTGTACCAAGCCCCACGATCCCCAGACTACGGAGCAGGTGCTTCAGTGGTTTTCATGGAGTTCGGCTCCAATCATCTGTTTAGTTTTCGAGTTTCGATGTCCCAGGTGATACTATCCTTGTTGATGTCCGTCTTTGGGAGAGTATCCCAAATTTAAACTTGGAGTTGTTGTTGGCTGATGCAAGGTCTACAATGGCCTTTCAGTATGTGTTATCCGCGGGTGAGGGTGTAGGACGGCTCCTGGCTATTATTTGTTTTGGAGATTGGAACCCCATAAGGATTCAGGGTTCTTGTGTGCGCTGAAGGGCTTCCCCCCTCACACAGCTGACACTTTACGGTCAGTGAGCCCGCGAAAGGAAGGCTGTTGTGGCTGGAGGCCCTCATTCTTACTATCATGGGCCTAATCGGAGCTCAGGGAAACATTTGGGTCTAGTTGGGATGTACAATGTAATGGAGATAAAAGCCTGAAAACTTACCAATACCGCTCCCTCGGAATCCTACTAGAACCTAGAATATGCCACCGTATGAAACCTTTTTTAGCCTGATAGCAAGCCGTAGGGCTCTTTACCCGGTGCAAGGAACCGTAGTCTAATTATCAAGGCCCCCCCATAGTAAGATCCTTTCTTCTGCGCTTTGAGGCATTCCGGACATGGGCAACATCAACATCTACGAAGGCCCCGGCCCCGAGGTTTAGGGTTTAGGGATTTTGGGCTTAGGGTTTAGGGTTTTAGGGTTTAGGGGTGGGTGTAGGGATCAGGGCTTAAAGGGATTTGGGGTTTGGGTTTAGGTTGAGGGGTTGAGCTTAGATTTAGGGTTGAGGCGGGATGCAAACTGCAATCATATATCCAGTCGAAGCGTGCTCTTCGGTTTTGTCTTCAGGGTTTGAGGTTTAGAGGTTTTGAGTTTAGCGCCCAGTTCCAAAGTTTTTATGAGATCCGATCTGCAGCGTGAGGCATCATCTGAACATGTGAGGTTGGCTGTTATTTGGGAAGGTGGCCCTGTCGCCAAGATCCCTGAATACGATAATTATCCCGAATATTCAACCAGGCAGCAAGCGCGTCGTCGTGCAGGGCAAGTGACGTGGTGGCAAGATGTGGGGTTCCATCTGGAGCAGTGTCAGACTCGAACAGTGCGTTGCGCGCGGTCGTGTTTGGAGTTGCTGGCGGGTTAGGGTTTTTTTAGGCGTTAGGTTTTAGAGTTTGGGGTTAGGGTTTAGGGTTAGGGTTTAGGGTTTAGCCGGAAACGCTGCACTTCTTTCAGTCTTGGCAGGCCCAGCTGTCAACCCTCCAACTTTTGGGCTTCTAAAGTACTCTTCTGAACCCCAGAAGCCCTAAACCCCGTAAACAAACCGTTAAACCGTTCCACCCTGAACTGAAACCCCAACTACTGTAAACCTGGCTTTAAGCCCTAAACCCTTCATGGAGGATCATGGGACTAAGTAAGTAAGTAGCATTGTAAGTACAAGTACCTTAATTGAGTTTACAAGTGGAAATAAGTATAGTTACCTTACTGAATTTCCGTACTTACTAAGTCCCCTGATCCTGTAAGTATACCCTAAACTTCAAACCCTATCGTACCCCTATAGATCCCTTCAAGGGATCCTTAAAGGAACCGTGCTTACCCTTAGGAAACCCTTATTATTAAGGGCCTATTCAGGAACCTAGTAGACCCTGAAGCCCTGAACCCTCAGCCCCAAACCCAACACTCCCGTCCCATCCAGGCGAGTCCAAGAACTTCGCTCCGTGGTCGAAGCGTTGACGGCCCCGCCAGATCTGGCCAAAGCGCGGGCGTGTCACAAGAAAGCTTAGGCTTAGAGCTCAAGATGGGCTCCAGGTTTTAGTTTCGGGTTCTTTGGGCTCAAGATGGGTTTTAGGCTCTTCGTGTTCGGACCAGAGAGGATGAGGCGGGCGACTTAGCAGCCTTTTACAACTCCCACGCTGAACATGGCAGAGGAAAAGCGGTATTGACGCCGGGGTGTTGACTTCAAATTTTATAGGTTTTCATGAGTGCGCCACTGCAAGCTTGAAGATCCCGAATCCTTAAAAGTTCCTTCTAGCTCCCTGCAAGCTTTCTCAAGAAGCCATAAAGATGATGGGCAAAGTGTTATCTTCAGCTGATAGAGTTTAGGCTTTAGGCCTCACCGTCGTCATCGTCATGTTCGTCGTGTTCATACTTATCGCCGTATGATATTCACTGTCGTCTTCATCATCGACCGGTTCCTCCTCCTGCCCGTCATCATGACAACCACATCACCAACCCTAGTCAGCATCAGCCCAACTCAGATTAAGCGTGACTTTCTTAGCCCTTTAAAATATGTCTGAAGTGAACATGACCTTGGCTCATGCACGCTCGGCATCCAGATGCAAAGCTAGTCGTCAGAACACAAAGGCCTTTGAACCTGCGGTTTCCGTTCCTGTGAGGAAGGTTAGCCATGGAGCAGCGTGCGTGGCGCATCCAAAAATGCAAGTTGCGCGTGTCTTGCAGGTGTCTCTGTCGAACCGGGCGATCCCCTTTCAGCTACTATACTCACTACTCCTTTGCATTTAGCCCTTGCTTGTGGTTTTGGTTGCTTCCAAGGATTTCGACGAAAGTCCTACATTCTCCAGCTGACTCTAGCTCACCATCTGAAAGATAAGCATAATGTGATTTCACGAGCTCATTGTCTTCAATGGGAATGTGCTTTCAACTTATCTAGACCCAGAGTCCTCTAGTAGGGGCGTTCAGCCCTGCTTCCCTTTGATGGTTTAAGGTTTATAAGGTTCTCGAGGGTTTAGGGTTTTAGGGTTTTAGGGTTTAGGGTTTTAGGGTTTAGGGTTTTAGGGTTAGGGTTTAGGGTTTTAGGGTTTAGGGTTGTAGGGTTAGGGTTTTAGGGTTCAGGGGTTTCGGGTTCTAGGTCTAGGGGCCTGAGATGCTGCAGGTGTCCGCCTCGAGATTATGCAGCTGTTCCCTAGAGAAGCCCTGCCTCCCCTCCAAACTACTATTTGCTTAAGAACCCCCAAAAAATGAAAAATATATTCCTTATGGGGGGGTA